ATGACGATGTAATGAAATATTGTGGAATTTCAATGTGATGGTTACATAAGCTGTACAGTTTTCCTTTTCCATTATGCAGTTTGCATTTTTCTTTCCTGTCTTCTTCAATAGTATGCCTTCATTGCTTTGCTGCAGTTGGGCTATGAGCTCTCTGACCCATAAAGGTGGCAAAACCTCAGAACAGAGTTCCAATGCTCCAGCTAGTGTGCTTGTTGCTTCTGCAGTTTCCGATGCTAGCTCAAGTATGCCTCTTGCCAATTTCTTTTAATAATGCTACTGCCCTTAGTGGATAACCGAGATTATTGTCACATTGCTTATTTCAAAAATGAGTTTTATGCTTATGATGATGCCTTTGTCTCTGGAATTGCTATTGATATTGATTCTACAAATCACATAGTTGCATATAGTTCGAGTATAACACCAGTCCATATAAGAGCAGGAGCAGATGTGGCAGATCATCCTGTACCTGTATCCCCAACGTCAACTGATGGATGGGGAGAACTTGAAAATGGAATTCATGAGGGTAATGGCAGTGACAAAGATGGTTGGGATGACATTGAGCCACAAGAAGAGCCAAAGCCATCTCCTTCTCTGGCAAATATTCAAGCTGCTCAAAGACGTCCTGTCTCTCAACCAAAACCACAAGGTAGTAATAATGCCTGGTAAATTTGAGTGCAAACAAAAGCTTACATCTAATATATACATCTCTAGAAAGATTCAATTCCTTGGTTCGTGTATAACTAAAGGCAATCGCATGCGTATCCACAGAGTGAGAATCGAAAATCCCTGGGGGTATGACTGGGAGGATTTTGACTGCTGCAATTTTTAATTGTAGGTTCTGTCTGATTGCTCGCAGGAAACTTAATTTTGACTGATTCTGGGAACCCATCACCCCCTCCCCCTGCCAAATAAAAAGGAAAGGGAGGAAGAGAACCACAATGATGGAACTAGAAAAGGAAATAAAAGACAAGAAATTGGAAGCATGTCATTTGATCGTCAGATCAACTAATTTCGTTTCTTTAATGTTTGTTTCAGTTACTGGTTTGAGGGGTAAAACCACTTCTAAGATGAGTAAAGATGATGATGAAGATTTGTGGGGTTCTGTAGCTGCTCCTGCTCCAAGAGCAACTTCTCAGCCATCAAACTCGAGGGCAAACAGAACAGTTGATGATGACGACCCTTGGGCTGCCATAGCAGCCCCAGCTCCTTCGGCAAAACCTTTGAATGTGAAAAGAAGTGGAGCACTTGATGACAATGACCCCTGGGCTGCTATTGCAGCTCCTGTACCAACTGCCACAGCAAGACCCTCAATTGGGCGAGGCCGAGGTACCAAACCTGCGGCTCCTAGATTGGGTGCGCAAAGAGTAAACCGAACATCATCTGGAATGTAAGTTACAAAAGTAAAACTAGGCTCAGCAGCATATTTGAGGTAATCCTGTAAATTTTTTTTGCCCCCAGGCGGCTAAATTTCTGACTGAAATATATGATTGAAAGTTCTATAGATGTGTTGTATCATTAGATTCCTCAAGGACAACGGGATTAGTACTAATTTGCCCCTGGTCAAAACACTGAATTTCTTCTTGTAAGAGAAGTAATCAATTCTTTGTAGATAGATGTCATTACTTTTCGGCATTAATGTTGAAAGATTGGTGATTTTCTTTCGCCGATGGCGACTNTTGTTTGTTTTGTTGTCTGTTCTTTTTCCTGTAAGCTTTATTTTTCAATTTTACCAGTCGCTCCAAAAGAGTCACATTATGGTGACCCTTGGTTGGAATGTTGAACACATTACTTCCAATTTCTAAGTTAAGGCAATTTGTAATTGATGGCGGACATTTTTCCTCCGACTAGTGGTGTTCATAAAAAATTGAATCAAACCGAAAATCGAACCAAACCAACTAAAAAAAGCAATACTTTTTGGGTTTGGTTTGATTTTGAATTTGAATTTTAAAAACCGATAATTTAGTTTAGTTTTGGTTTTAATCAAAAAATAAACGAAAAAAATTGAAACCTAGCTATTTAAAATTTATTATTTTACCGATATATGTATATTTTTATACAAACTTCTAAAATTTAATGGTATATGTTAATCGTTTGCATTTTTAGTCTAGTTCTTTGCTATTATAATAATCTAGCTCGTTGCCTTTACATTCTAGTTTGATTGGTAGCTTTCTCTTGGTAAGTACAAGAATTCATTTCATGTTAAACTAGATATGGGTTGCCCGTGCTGAGCACGGGCTCAATATGTGATCCGATATGTTTTTTACTAACATATTAGCTTCAAAGCAATGAAATTGAAAAAGATACATTCGGGCTATTAGTTTGCACATGCTATAGATAAACTGACAAATTAAATTGGCTAAAGTGATTCAGATCAGATTTGTAGATATTTTGTGAAGATAACTAAACACTACACCTCCAAACTAATTTGATAATAGTAAAAACCTCACCTAAAAGGTGCTTTGAGAAAACGACTAAAACTTATAATAATAATTTTCTGAAAGAAAGAAAAAGCATTGACCATGAATATGCCATCCATTGAATAAAAATGATTGCGTCAGGTGTATAGGAAAATTACACCTGGACAAAACTAAATTTCTGCAATCCTTCATGCTAAAACATCGATTTCAGTGCTAGAAAGTAGAACTATGATTTTAATGATACAGAGCTAGTTAATTTTCCCTTTACACAACCTAATTTTCACTCCAACACAATTGTTGAAGACAATGCTTAGAGATTAGTGAAAGAGTAATTATAATTGTGGTGCACCTATTCCTCATTAGAGCTTTATTACATTGATACCCACGCTCAAGCAATAATTCAACTTAAATGAAGATGAAACTATTTGGAACTTCACTATCTAAAATGATTCAAAATGCTAATTAGTGTTCTTCCCTACAGATATTATCTTTTGCGGATGTATTTTTTGAACTTCTTTTGAGTCTTACAACATCTGAAAACTGGCAAGTAGGTGCATTCTTTTTTACTATGCGCTTGACGTCTCCAAAAGCTCTTTGACACTGTTCTGAAAATATAGTGTCACAGTCCTGCTTGGGGCCTGGATGCATGTGTTCCAAAGTCTATCCTTCACAAAATAGACACAGAAATATCCAAGTGGTATCTTTCTAGGTATCGCATTACTCTTCCTTCTTCGATCTACACTTCGGTGAATCGAAGGCTTATTAAAAGCATAGGCAAAAAAGCATATTTATAGGACTTATTAAAATGTCTTATAACTACAAATAGTGATGCTAGTCTTACTTTTCCAATGTGTTCCATCCTGCATGAGTAAATGGAAGTATTTTTTTAATCAGCACAGATATTCAGCAAGCAGTAGCACACAGTTTTCTCCCAAATTGTGAAATATAGATTCTGATTAGATAAAGGGAAGTGCAGATCCCTAAAGAAGAATATGAAGGATAAAGAAATATTAGCAAGAAAGGTAAAATACTAATTGTAGATAATTGGTGCTAGAACTCATTTGTAACAGTAGACAATTAACAAAATAGTAGTGAAAGAAAGCTAGGTAGAGAACTTAGCTATAGAGAATTCTAGATGGAAAAACATGAAGAAGGACATGTGTGTTATTAGAGAAATAAAAAGTTTATTTCAAATCAGCTGAAATTACAGAAATACTTACTAAAGTTGCAAATCAGTAATCAAGCGTTTTTAAAGCAACACGTAATAAAATAGATGAAACCTAAAAGTTATAAATTCGAAAACTCTATCTTAGCATTAAACTATAGAATTTGAGACTTTAGGTCTAAACAAATTAATAACATGAAAAAAGCGCATCAATTTTTTCAACAACATATTTAAAAATTACGAATACACCACGGTAATATACATATATTATTCAAGATAATAATCATTTAGTGTGTGAAACCAAGCATAAGTCATTTGCGACTTCATTTATTTATTCGATATTCTGCTCTGAATGTCAAACCAGAAACAACAATTCTTTTTCTTTTTCATCTGGACATGAAATTAGAATTTGAAAACATCCAATGCTAAAGAAAAGAAACTCTTTGATTCTACTGCATGTAGTCACACAGCTACAAAACATAGAACTCTTTGATTCTATGCATGTAGTCACACAACTACAAAACATAGTAAAATTGCATACGATCGAACATAGTAGCCAATGTGCACGCGACAACTAAGAGCACAAGCTAGATAAACATTTTATTCTTAAAGAACGGAATCTTCCCACCACCCGAGCTACCAGAATACTCTTCTTTCACGTAAATCATTCCACATAACTTTCATAATTCAAAATATAAAATAAAATAAAAGGAATTTTGACTCTTCAAGAACTGAATTTCCTCAATTTCTGAGCTGCCAAAACAATTTTGTTTAACATAAGTGGAGCTACATAGAAGTACAAGAGCAAATGCTCATTAAAAAAATATATTTTTTAAGAAAATTAAACACAGACGAAGAATTTTTGTCGAGAATAAATCTTTTCAAAGCTTTGAGATGCCATAAAACAACCTTGTTTCACATAAATGACCCATCTAAGATAATAATAACAAATAGTCACTAAAAATTATAAAAAAATTATACCGGAACAATGAAATGAACAAAGAGGAAAAAATAATGAAAAACTCACCGGTTACAAGGGCGAAGCTAACCGAGAGAAGGGCACAAATTTGTTTCCTTTTTGAAGAATAAATCTGCAACTATAAATAAAATATTGCAGTTATGTGAGGATGAAAATTGAAAAACCTTCACATCAACCATGAAATTGGAGAGAGAATTAGAAAGATTAATAAAGACATCATCCATAATTTTCAATCGTGGATTCAGAAGTCTGAAGAACACTGAAAGAAATTAGGGAAGAAAAGAAATTGGGGAAAAAATTGAGAATAAACCTGACCTGAAATGAATAGAACTCACAAAAAGCACTTCAGAGTAGCGGAAGAGTTTTTTTTAGTTAAAAGGGATGTTGTATTTATATACTAGTTAACAAAAGGAACCACATTAGGGACATTACTGGAATATCACAGAGACCCCATAGTTGTAAGGTTTAGCATAATTGTATTTAGGTTACAATCCACAAAAGACCTAACTAGTTCAGTTCCTAGGATGTATGCCCAAAATACATCATTGACAAACATCGGAGGAACTGATAATGTCATAGATTTGTTCAAAAACATCTCCTTTGCTGCTTCCTTGGCCAATGCATCAACTACTCTGTTTTGTTCCCGGTAGGTATGCCTCACTACCACGCTGCCCATCCTTTGGATGATTGACCTGCATTCGCAAATTAGAGGGTCAAAAATCAGACTTCCATTCAAAAGCATATTGATTGTTTCAGCTGAATCAGTGTTTATTTCCAGTGGTACTAAATGGTTTTGCTCTGCCAATTGTAGACCCCGTATGAGGGCCTTAACTTCTGCCCTTGTATTTGTTGTTTGGGGGATATTGTCCATGTAGCCCAATATCCAGTCCCCATTGTGGTTTCTGAATATTCTCCCTGAACCTCCTATTCCTAGGTTCCCCTTTGCTGCTCCATCTGTATTCAGTTTGTAGGAACCTCTGGAAGGAGGTTCCCATTTTAACATGATCTGGTGAGTTACCTTTGTTGAGTCATTCTTTGTAAGCATAAGGTACTCGGTTGCTTTTGAGATTGTGTTATTGGCATTGATGTGCTCTTTCTTGTTATTGAATACATTGATGTTTCTGGTTAACCAGATGTTCCACAGACAAAAAGGAATGAGGTTGTCCCAACAGATGTAGTTATTGAAAAGGACATTTTTTAGAGTGTTCCATGTTGATTGCCACCACCTATTGAAGACTGGGTGATTATTTGAACTATTTCCTGTAGATTTGGATAGTATGTCATTCCAGAAATGGACAACATTAGGAAATTCAAAGAAAATATGGACAATGTTTTCCTGTTTATTATTACAGTAGTAGCATTGAGGGACACAGTTGATTCCAATAGAGTGGAGGAAGCTCCTAGTTGGAAGTCTGTTATGGGTTAGGAGCCAAATGAAGTATTTGATTTTGTTGGGGGCTTGAAGCTTCCAAATCCATTTGAAGGAGTCTTCCTCCCCAGAATGGAGACTGGTTGTAGTCCTGCTTAGGAAGGAGTAAGCAGAACTATTTGAGAACTAGCCATTAGGAGCCAAATCCCATATAAGATTATCATCCTTAGTTGTAACGAAGGGGGGTGGGGGGTGAACACAGAGTTCACTAAGTTCGGAATACTTGGGGGGATGTTAATGGACAAGGCTGATATGTCCCAATTGTCCAGTTTGTGGATTGAGCTAACCTTGGCCTCAAGGTCATTTTGGGTCAATGAGCCTCTAATCATCTGTCTGATAGCTGGCTGATTAGCGATCCAAGTGTCATTCAAGAAACTGACCATATTTTCTTTGTGGACTACCCATCTGCTTGCTTTGCTGCATATCTCCCAGCCCTTTAGAATGCCCTTCCATGTTGGAGATTTTAGGTGTTTAGGGTGTCTAAATGCTCTAACTGGTCTAGACATGTTGCAATGTTTGTGAATGAGAACTCTAGCCCATAGACTATTGGTATTCTTATAGGTCCTCCATGCCAGATTTGTGAGTGAAGCTTTGTTCTTGGTACTAGCCTTTTGGAGCCCTAGCCCGCCCTCAGCCTTGGTCTTAGTGACTACCTCCCACTTGATCAGATGTAGCTTCTTCCTTTTAAGGGTGGTGCCCCAAAGGAAGTTTCTCTGAATTCTATCAATCTGATTGGTGATTTTGGTGGGTAGATTTATGTATTGCATAACATGACTTGAGATGTTGTTCAAAGAAGTTTTGGCTAGGACTGTTCTCCCAGCCATGTTGAGGTATTTAGTTTTCCAACCAGCCATCTTGGTTTGCATGTTATCAATAATAAATTGAAAGTCTGCAGCTGATTTTTTTTTGTGGAGAATGGGGAATCCAAGGTATTTTTCAAAGGATGTTATGTGCCTGATGGACAAATAATTGGTGAGATGCTGTATGACATCTTGGGTGATATTTGAAGAAAACAGGACTGATGCATGAAAAAATGGTATTGTTGTTATTAATAATAAACAGGACTCTTGAAATTCTGCAATATTGAAAGAATGGTATTGCAGTTCCTATCATTGGCTTTGGCAAAGAGGGTGAGGTCATCCGCAAAGAATAAGTGGGATATTTTTGGTCCAGACCTACTTATACTTATGGGGTGCCATTGGTTATGTAGTACAGCCTTATCAATAGATCTAGATAGTATTTTCATACACATAATGAATAGGTAGGGAGACATGGGGTCGCCCTGCCTAATGCCTCTTGAGGGTTTGAAAGGCTCTGTTTTTCCCCCATTGACAAGAATGGAAATGGATGATGTACTGATGCATGACATGATGAGTTTGGATAGGACCTGGGGGAAGTTGAAAGCAGCTAGGGTGTCTCTAATAAAGGACCATTCCAGCCTGTCAAAGGCCTTCTCTAGGTCTATTTTTAGGATCATGTTGCCACTCTTCCCTCTCATTTTCCTGAAGTGGGGAAGAGCGACTATGTTTCTCCATCCTTGAAACAAAAGAGATAAAAGCTGATTCTAAAATATGAGAGAAGCCACGTGACTGAGCATTGAGGAAAGCATTTTTATGAATGAGCAAAATGTCAATTTTGCCCTTGGTCGACCACAAAAATAATCTATTTTTAATTGAATGCTTTCATTATTCATCACTATTTGATTCAATTATTATCAACGTATCTTGGTAAAGGATAGATTTCTAAAAGAGTAATTGGTTTGATAGTGTTACGTTAAAAATGTAGTTGCCGGAATATGTGTTTGGTAGTGAAGGTCTCATATTTAAGAAAAAATCGAAAAACCAACAAAACCCGCCATAAACTGAATCCATAAAAGTCAACTTAGTTGGTTTGGTTTGGTTTGGTTCCAATATTTAAAAAGCTGACTTATTTGGTTTGATTTCTTTTTAGGGAAAAACCGATCCAAACCGGACCATTAACACCCCTAGCTGCAACACTTGAATTTTGCTTCTAATTTGTCAATGTGACAGTAAAGTCACGAAATTATTATTTGTCAAATTAAAGTAACAAAATTTACCTAGTATACCAGTAAGGTCAATTAAGCAAATTTTACCTAGTATAATAGTAAGGTCACTAAATTTTACCCTATAATAGTAAATTCACAAAATATTTTCACATTAAACTAACTGAATTTCTATTTACTATAACAATAAAATCACAAATTTTACTTATTATATCGATAAAACCTACCCATCAAGCTAATTCTACTATTATAAGGTTAAGTTTTAGCGGGTAAATTTTGTTATTTTAATGTGACAAAAAATTAGGGGTTTTGACACAGTTACCCACAAAAATAAAACTATTTACCCTTGTCTACACATTTGTTTTCCTACCCATAAACTAATTATATTTCCTACCCATGTAGGTTTTGTGGAGAGTTTTTTCTTTATTCTCCAACTCTTTTTTATTTCTATGCTTCTTTTCTTTTCTTTTTTCTTTTTTTTTTCTTTTCTCCTTTTCTTTTTTCTCGTTTTCTTCTTATTTTTTTCTTTTTCCCTTTTTTTTCCTTTTCTAATTTCATTTAATTTCTTTTTTTATATTCTTTTTCTCTTCATAATCTAATTTCATTTACTGTTTTCACTATTTTTTTATATATTATTACTAAAGAAAAATCAAATTGTGTACCAATTAATGTAGCTAATACAATCAAAAAAAATATTAACTAACATATGATACCAGTATAGTATATATGTATACCAACAGAGCATATGATAGCTCTAGAATATTGCTACAACTACCTGCAACTATACTACTGTACCAAAACATCATAGGACGCAATAAAAGTATGAGAAAATTACATACTCATGTTGCAAGCTAAATATTCGCAAAACAACTTGCTCACTCCATATACTAACATGGTATATAGTTGTATGGGGTCGTTCCAACAATTGCCGATAATTATAAAACTATTACATAATACACATAATTTATGTCCATTGTCATAAAAATTCCAGCACTGCAAATCATGTTCATATAAACAATTTCATAATAGAATTCACTTAAAATGCAGCTAAAACAATCAAAACAAACTACCATATGATACCAATATGACATATAACTATACCAGCATGGTATACATCTTTACTGGTTAATTCCCGACAACTATATGACTATACTACTATTACATAACACACATGCATAAAGAGAAAAATAAAAACATAGTATACCACATATTAATATAATAAAGTATTTCAAGAAATTGTACTATATTACTATTATTAAAAGAAAATCAAATATTGTATCAATTAAATGCAGCTAATACAACCAAAAAATAATTCAACTAGCATATGATACCAATATAGTATATAACTATACTAATAGGGCATATAGTTGGAATGAATTGTATACCAAAATGGTATATTTGTATACTATTTGGGTATACAATACAAATTCGTCATCTTCTCTAGTTCAACTATATTTCAACCCAAATTTTGTAAAATCTACTACAAAATCTCCATCAAATTGACTAAAACTTTAGCTACAACCTTCAATCAACTTTCCAAACAAACTCATGCAGGATCGGATCAAAACAATTAAAAACTCAAACAAACCAAGTTATGAGTTTCAAGTTTCAAGATCCTTCAATGATGGATTTAATTTTCTCACAATAAAATCTTTGAAAAATAGCATTAACATCATAATCAAAGAACAATACCCAATAAATTCCAACACCAAATACTTCAACACACATGAAAATTCAAATTTTAGTTAGATAGTACATTTTTTTTTAAAACTTTTAAAAGATAAAATAAACTATGGAGCACAAAAAAAAGGGGTGATGATAGCAGAAAAAAGTACAATACTAACAACACTGCCCACTATTGAGAAAAGCTAAATATTCTTTGGCTTCTTTTTTGGATTCACACTTTTGCTGCTTAAATTAGATATGTCCATCGCACGCGAGAATTGGGTTGGGCGGGTAATTAGTTGTAATAGAATAGATATTGATGTAATTACTTTTAAAATGGGTATTACGGGTAATTACTTTTGATTAAGTAGGTATATAGGGTAGTTTTCCCCTTTTTGTTATTTTAGCGGGCTTCTCAATCTTCCGAAGAAAAAAAGAGTTCAGTAAAACAAACGGCATCTACGTAGAATTGTCTAAATTTTGAGATTTAACATGGAAAAATATCTCAAGAAATTTAATATAACAATTTCGGTAAACAAAGAATATATTCGAAATAAAGTTACTCTTCCACCAAATTATCTGATTGAGAAGCATGGTTTCCTGGGTTGTTAGCATTTCTTTATCATTTGTCTTCTAATATTTTAAAGGGAAAATGGCCAAATATATCCTTTTACTTTCGGATATTGTCTACATTTAACATCTGTTATATTATCCGGCAAAATTTATCCCTAACGTATCCCTGCCATCGGTAAACTTTTAAAAATTACCGCTTGATCTTCTAGGTAATCCAATCCCACTTTTCTTTTATTTAAATCACTTGTTGTTCTTCTTGCTTCACTATTTTCAGAAATTACTATTGATGTGAATGCTAAAGGTACTAGACTATACAAATTATTCGTGGATTTTTTTAATTACCAGTGCACTCACTTCTCTATTTTATTTATCAACCATATACACACAGTAGAATTCAGTGGGTCTATTCGAATATGTACATGTATATTCGAATATGTTTTGTTATTATCTGATTAGAATAGAGTTCAATCGACTAACTTAAGAGTGCACAACGCGTGGGTAAATGATTTTGAAGCAAAGTTGAATTTGACAATGTAAAGTTTCCAAGGAACTTCAACTTTTATCACTATTACTTGCAAAGTCTCCATACCTTTGGTACAACGAATTCATTAAAGTTGGGGTACTATAAGTACTTCAGGAATTTAGACAAGCTACCTAATTTAGATTCTTCAATTTAGTATACTTTATTTACTAACCGTTGTATTATTTTAATTTCTCTTATTTATTTTTCCAATTAAAAAAGCAGGTAAATACCAACTATTTCGAAAATGTGGATCAAGAAGAATAAATGACTTAATTAAAATGATTTGGGAGATTCTAGGTCACTTGACGGACTGAGGGGTAACTTTTAAAAGCTTGCTGATGATAGGGGTAAATTTGACCAGATAGTATAACGGTAGGGGTAAGTCTGATTGAATAGTATAACCGAATTTAAATGTAGACAATATTCGAAAGTAAAGGGGTAAATTTGGACCTTTTCCCTATTTTTAATAATGCCAGTGCCCGGCTCGACAGTTTCATACCTATTACCTTGTATCAACATGAACCAAGAGATAGAAATCAAACTATATTGAACGTATTTCGGTTCAGCAAAAGTTTGTCTCCCTACGATCCAAAAATCTAGTAACCTGAATCGAACTGGCCAAAAACTGATTGAACCAACCGGATTCACACCCTTGAATCAGCCTCTGCCTGTGACAGTGACTCTTGTTAAATGAATTGCCCATGGAAATAGAGCTGGAGAAACCACAGCAATACCCGATCTTAGGAAGTTCTGACTTCCACTTTCCCGGGGTGCATCGTCTGTCAATAATATTAATGTATCGCGAAATGTAAGATTGATCAGCAGCCTTAACCATTCAACATGGCAAATCAATGCTCCAATAGGGTGACACCCGAGTCCACCTCGATTTTGAAAATGCAGGTTTCCCTCTTACAACCTAGTTAACGCACATGTCCGTTAACTAGGTAAAGAAAACTATTTCCTGTGCATTTTCAAAATCTCATATTGCCTCAATCTCATAATCTCCTTCGTTTTTCATGATACTTCTGAGACTTTGCAGTGTCTCATAGATCTCAATTGACCTTGGCGATGATGAATCACTTGAGAAGAAAACATCAAGTTTATTTTTCACCTCAATCCAACTACATCCAGGGTTCTTCTTCAAACCTTTCTGCCTCATCAAAGCCCTCAAACTTGCTGCTTCTTCCCTCCGCCCAGCTTCCACATAGAGATTTAAAAGTTGAACGTAATTGCTACCTCTGTTAGGTTCCATCTTCAGAAGGTTATTGGCAGCTATTTCTCCAAGCTCTACGTTTTTATGGACTCGAGAGGCTGACAAAAGGCAAAGCCACACGCCCCGGTCAGGCTCCACCACAATATTTTGTATGAAATTATATGCATCATTCAAGCGTCCAGCACGACCTAGAAGGTCCACCACATTTATGTAGTGGTCCATTTGAGGTTTTATTCCATACTCTTCTATTAAGTGAAATAGTTTAAAGCCTTCATCCACTAAACCAGCATGGTTGCAAGAGGAAATTAAGGAAAGGAAAGTTATGCCATCAGGCTTGACTCCGTATTTCCTCGTTTCATTGAACAAGTTAATAGCTTTACTGCACTCACTGTGAGATCCATACCCTGCAATCATCGTATTCCATGTTACTAAGTTTCTTGTGGATACGTACTGGAATATACGCTCTGCATACCTTAAGCATCCACTTTTTATATACATATCAATTAGTGCATTTTCCACTTGATTGTCTTCTAGAATTTGATGCCTTATTTGGTAACAATGAATTGCCTTTCCTTGAATCAGTATCGCTAAAGATGAAACAGCAGCAAGGGCACTAGTAAGTGTAACACAGTCCGGATACAATCCTTGCTGCACAAGTTGAGGAAGAAGATTTAAAGAGAGCTCAGGTAAGTCATTTTTCGTATAGCAAGTGATCAGAGAGTTCCAAAGCACCAAACTCTTATTAGGAACACCAGTGAAAACCTTTCCAGCTATCTCCGGCTGACCACAATTAGAATACATATCTACAAGAGAACTGCTTACTGAACAATCTAATTCTACTCCAATCTTGACTGTGATTCCATGGATAGAGCAACCTAACTGTAAGCTTTCTAGTCCTGCACTTGCATTTATCATCATTGCCATTATATCAGCATCTGGATTAACATTATCAGTCTCCATCTGTTTATATATTTCCAATGCCTCCTTGAATTTCTTATTTTGACAAAGACCTGAGATCATTGAGCCCCATGCAACCACATCCTTCTCCTCCATTCTACTGAAAACTTCAAGAGCGTCATTTAACATTCCACATTTTGAGTACATAGTCACTAGAGCACTTTGCAACGCGATGTTATTCTGTATTGGTTTCTTTATCAGTTCGCCATGAATTGCCCTACCTAAATCATAAGATTCGTTCGTGCTGCATGATATAAGAATATTTGACAGGGTGAAAGAATCAGAAGGAATGCCTCTTGATCGCATCTCATTATACACACGCAGAGCATCATCGCCTCTGACATTGCCTACATAAGCTGAAATCATAGAATTCCACACTTCAACCTCTTTATTTAATACAGAATCAAAAGCCTTGTCTGCATCTTCCAACATTCCAACCCTTGCATACATGGACAACACCGATGTACAGACATAAGGATCATCCTCAAAACCCATCTTGACAACATCCGAATGAACCTGCCTGCCGAAATCTATATCTTCACCCTCAGAACAAGCCTTCAAAGTACTAGAATAAGTCGTTGACATAAGTTTGCAGCCCCTGTTCTTAGCTAAAGTATATAGTTCCAAGCTTTTTCCCCATAATCCATTCTCACATAACCCACCAATTAATGCATTCCACATGACAATATTGTCCTTGTCTTCTACACTCTCAAAAACGCACCAAGCATCTCTTGGCCTACCACAATTAGAGTACATATCAATCAATGCAGTAACCACAAAAGGATCATGACCGAAAGCGTTTCTAACAACATAAGCATGAAGTTCCTTTGCTTTGACAAAATCGACACGACCATTAAACAACCCCAAAAGAATACTAAGAGAGTACTCATCAGACTTGACATCAAGCTCTTGCATTCTTCTAAACAAACCCATACACTCCTCAGTAAGCCCATTTCTGATATACCCATCTAGCATAGCATTCCATATAGTTACATCTTGAACCAAATCTTTACATTCAGAAATAAAATCAAACACTTGGACTGCACTACAAAGTGACCGGCATTTCGCGTACATGTTGATGAGCGAAGTGATGATAAAAGGGTCATATTGAAGACCCGTTTTGATGATTGTGCCATGGATTGTTTTCCCAGTATGAAGATTTGGAAGAAAGGCGCAAGCTTTTAGGAGAGCAGGAAAAGTGAATTTGGAGGTGTTGAGAGGAAAATGAGGTTCTTTAGAGTAGGCTAAGAGAGCTTCAAAATGGTTTCCTTGTTGGATAAATGTTTTGATTTTGGAATTAAGCAAAACAAGAGATTGGACTGGATTTAGAGTGGAAAATTCACGGGATTTGAAGCAAAGGAAACGCATAGCATCTCATCCTCCTAAGTTCTGCAAAGCAAATGTCACTGACAAACCGGTGCCCCTGTGTGAAATGATTTTTTTTTTTGAAATTATTGACGCTAGGAAATAAACATGCTAAAAAGCATAATATGCGTTTGAGTTTTTTTACCTATGAGATTCCAGTAATTTGCTGGAATTTCATAATGTGTTGGAGTTTCAACATAATATGCTGGAAGTTTATATGCAGGAGCTCCATAATCCAGCATAGGAACTTAAGCTAAAATAGTGGCTATTTTTTAACGATTTTACAAAAGCTGGCTATTTTTCAATTACCAATCCGAAAACTGGCTAATCCATGCTATTTTCACTATACATATAGTGTGAGAATAGTATGTATCAAGTAAGACTTTCAATTTAGCGACTTTTACATCTCTGTTACAAATAGAACACTAGGTGATTTGAACATTTTTAAAAAAAGGTTTGTTATATTTCAGATTTCCATCAATGACTTTAAAAATAATTCATGAACCAATATAATTAAATAAAATATTGTGATAATTTTTTTTAATGTAATAAGGAAACTAAGAGAATCCACCATTATAGCACTTTTATATCTGGTAGTATAGTGTTAGATAGATCAGGAAATATAGAAAATCTTTTTCTTTTGGCCAATTAAATTTTGATAGAAATGCTCTTTCTTTCGGACAGGAAATCATATATTGCATAGAGAGAACTCAACCTTTCTGAAGAATACAACGCATTACAGCCTTCAAAGAGAACGAAGTTGTTAAATTACTTAACACAGAATAATATGTCTAGATAATTCTAAAGTGAGTTGGTTTATTATAAGAAAAGATACATAATGGCCTCCCATTTAAATGACAGCTGCTACTACTCAAAATGATTCACTAAACTAATTTGAATGACAACTACTAATGTTCAAAATGATTATTACAAAGGAGAAAACATAACCACCAAAAGGTAAATCTACATGATTTGGGTAAGGAAACGAATACAAGTTATATTTGCCTTCAATATGTGAAAGCATTGTCCTAAGGTTTTACACTAACATTAGCGTACTATCAGGTTACAAAAAGAAAAAAAAAAAGATCAGCTGACAGAACATTCTTATGCAAGAATTTTGAGTTTACAAATCTAGAATTGTAAGTTCCTTCAAATATATTCATTCAAACAGTGTTATTGATGACTAATTACAAGCTCCAGCTTGACTCGAATTCATAAATCATACTTGGGCATGTATAACTAATAACGTGGTGAAAGAACTCAAAGACAGATTTGGTCACCATAAAACTTGGAGACTGTCAGCCGAGACGCATCTAAGATTTATAGTCAGATGGTTTAGAATGAATCTAATACTCCCACAAACTTCAAATTTTTTGCATAGGTACATATGGCGAGCCGAAAGCAATGGATTCAGACTTAAGTTGAACCCATGGAACCCGCTCTATATCCGCCTCTGACTCTCCTCACTGTGCAGCCACTAAACAGGCAAAGATCCTTATGATAACATGTTGATTTTGAGCCTCAGGGAGCAACTACGCCATTCACGGGTTGTATTTGTGTTAAAGTTTCACCCAGCAGCTAACATCTTCTAACTCCACTGCCTTGTTTAAACTTCTTCAACCTGCATATTAGAATCAAAACAATTGGCAGTCAGTAATACAGGTTGTATAAAAGTGTTTCTAGAGTCATATTGACATGAAAAAGTCCCTTTTAGAAATTGATTATTAAGCATGGGAGCAACCTGAGGGAGATTCATCAACTCAAAAACAGCTTTTGTGGGCGTTAGTTCGTTGTCGATAATCCTTGCAACTGCTGTTAAAACTGGCATTTTAACCTTGTACTTTTGCGCTAAAGCAATTACAGCTCCAGCTGTTGTAACCCCTTCAGCTACCTAAAAATGTAGTAGTTGTAAAGGAGAGAGAACAGACAAAACCACAAAATGACACAGCAGCTCCATTTCTTATACCTGATTCATTGAACTAAGTATATCGTCAAGTTTTTCGCCCGATCCCAGACGAACTCCAACTGTTCTGTTTCTTGAAAGGCTCACAAAGCATGTGAGCATAATATCTCCAGTTCCTGATAGACCAGTTAATGTTGTTGACTTTGCACCCATCTTTAATGGAAAGAGATCAGTGTCAACCAGTATTTTAGGATAAAGATAATCAAGCATTCAAGCTGATAGTTCTAAATCACAGCTTGTTTAGAAAATATGAACACGTCGACTTGATGCTTGAATCGATAGCAGCAAAAATACTTGGGAACAGAACATGAAACCTTTATAGCAGTGCCTAATATCTCATACATGAAATTGATGCTTGAATTATAATAATCAGTCAAATAGCTGCTTGAAAGTCATGTGGAAGATTAATAGAAGGAAAATGCAGAAACTTCTAAGATGTGATTAAAGCCAACTAACCTTTGTTGCCAACCATCGAATTTCAGAGCAACCTTGTGAAACAAGAGCAGCCATGGAATTGTTGCCAAGATTTAGTCCTTCCACAATGCCAGCTGCAATTGCCAACACATTTTTCAATGCACCTGCAATTTCAACCCCTGTAACATCACTGTAACATCAGGAGTTACAAGCAAGCATTTGGAGTGCAAAACCTTTACAAATGTTAACTTTGTTCGAACGTACTCCAGACACTTCTACACATAGTAGGTTACCAGGACTAGGTGCAACCAGACCATTTATCCCCCCTGGAATCCAACAGCAGAAATTGCATTAATTACAGTGTATCTAATTCTGTACAGAGGAGAACCCTCTGCACAACCATTGTGTGCTGAAGAAAGCAGTCTTCCTTTTTTTTTTCATTTATCAGCAGAACTTCAATACAATCCATAATAGTTTGAAATATATGCTCCTCCTAAACAGATGAGATCAAATCAGACAAAAGACATCAGGGCTTTACAACTTAAAGCTTTATAAGAAAAAAATTAAAACTTCGACAAGTTCCTTGTTTTTTTTTTTTAAAATCAAACTTTAATATTTTATAACATTTCATAATGTTGCTTATAGAACAAAAGAATTCTTATTTCCAGCTGATGATCCTTCAAGGTTCAAGAAATCCACCCAAAATATCCAAGGTAGGATAAGCATCAAACATATCCTATTAGAGCTCTACAATGTTGTGTTTCTCTTGAAGATATGAGAAGACAGAAAGGGGGTGTCAGAAAGTTCCCTAGTTGTAGTGGTAAAATTCTATGATAGACTTGCAATCAAAATGTTATAGCTCTGACCACTGATTGAAATACCTAAGTTGCGCGGACTCTTCGATTTTGGTGCCGTCCCCGTCCCGATACGAGACGGGGACCGGAGCGGGAGCGGGATACGTCCCAGATTCAGTCAACTGACTTCGGACACTTTGACCGGAGTCCATCGACAAATTTGGGAGAAAAATTGAGATTTTGATTTCTCAAAATCAAAAATCAAACAGATTTAGGAGAATGATAAAATAATGTCCATCTTGGAGAATGAAAGATCGAATTCTACAATATTCATGTAAGTTTTTCTCAGAATATCTCTCAAAATTTACAATATTTTTATAGCTCTATTTTTTATTAGCCGAATCCCTACACTCGTATCCATATCCAGATCTGCACCCCCGAATCTTAAAATTTAAATTTTGCCAAGTCCGATACTCGGATCCGTCCCCGTATCAGATACCCGCACCCGAGTTCGAGCAACTTAGTGAAATACCTTGATGTGTTGATTCTCAGGTTTCTACAAGCCATAAGTTGCTGAACGGAATTTGCCATCTTTTTGTCTTTTGAAGCTACTACCATTGCTGCACAAGCAAAGCAAGGGTTATTTTTGAACTTCAAGCAATGACAAAATAGATTCTCAAAACAGTCCAAACAACCTGTTGGTAGTTCATTCATCAGCTCTAGTGCAAAGGAAGGACCAGATAGAGCAACATAGGGTTGGCGAGGATTTTTCAGTGCTTTGGGAATTATCTGAGACATTGTTCTTAATGTGTTTAGCTCCAAACCCTTGCTGAGAGATATGAACGGCAAGCCTGGATCAACATGGTTGGCAATTTCCTCAAGGAATGATGAGCTGAACTGCAGTACGATATAATTGGTAAATGCATCTCGGTCAAACTAGTTGCAAAATAAATGGACAAACTTCACCTGCAAATCCAAGGAAATAAGAACTAGTACATGAGATAATAATTTTGCTTCCATGGTTCCAGCAGAATTCATTGCACAATAAACAAACGATGAATTAAGAAAACATAAAATATACCTGAACAGGTACAGCATGGAAGCAAAAATCTGCACCTAGCAGAGCAGCTTTTGCATCTGTAGTTGCAATGACATTTTCTGGTAGCTTGTGCTGTGGAAAATATTTACTGTAGCAAAAGAGAAAGGAAAAGGTTACGAAGCAAAAAAAAATGATAAGAAATACCTAAACTGGCAAGCTTTGCCTATTAACATGAAAACCCAGCAGATCAAAATCTCTCTATCTGCACTCGCCACCCTTTTTTATCGGATGGACTGAGTGGAATTGGCTCGGAGGTTGGGTCCAGGTGACGGCTATGCTTTTGGTTATGTTAAAACCCTAAAGTATAAACAAAACCAGAATTAAAGTCAAAAGCTCACCAGTTATAGTGTTCCTCGTTTATTGATCGACAAACTTGAGGATCTCTTACAAGCATATTCACTTCCAACTGGGACTTTCTTGTTGCAACATGAGCAGCCATTGCTGTTCCAAAAGATCCACCTCCAAGAACCACTATCTAGGACCAAAGGATATTAAAAATTGTATCATTCAGCACTAACATTAAATTCACCCAACCCAAGAACCAGCAACAAGGGGGAAATGGAAGAAAAGAAAGAAGCCAGTAAACATAAGAACACAGTTTTTCAACTTCTTTCTTTCTGCAGCAGGGGTGGGAGGCATTTCATTTCTAATTACTTGATGTTCTAGGGATTAATTGAAGTTGAAAGAAGGATACCCCCTTTTCGTCGTGGATTCTCAGGGGTATTATTGAATT